TCAAACTTTTACTAATTAATTTTATCTTCATGCTTTAAGTAATTTTGTTCTATATATAAAAATATATATATAAATTAAATAGATTTCCTACACTGGCTATGACCATCATAGCTACGACCACTATAACTATAACTACTATGATCATGACTACTAATTTCTTTGTTTTGAAGTTCTTCATCTTGAAAGTCTTTGCTTTGAGTATCATAATTTTCATTATCTTCGAATCCATTTTGCTCATAATTTTTATAGCCACTTTATGATAATTCTACTACATATATGTTATCATCATTCTGTTTGTTGAAATTTGAAGTTTTTATTACAAAAAAAATCGTAAAAAAGTTTTTATTAAAAATTTTAATAAAAATGCTATATGGTGCAGGAAATTTAAAACTACAATCACTTTATATAGAATAAAGAGTCATACTAAAGATAAGCTAAAATCAGTAATAACTTATTCTTATTTTAGGTTTTAGCTATATGCATAGAATAGTTATTACATAATATATTATTTATTTTTATGCAAAGAGATTGTAAATTCTAACTCTTCACTTCATTAATTAAAAAATTTTTCAATTCGCTACCAGTTTATGTATTCTATTTTATCTTTATAGGTAGTTATTTTTAAATCTAAACCAAAAATAATATTGCAACTTATATAAAATTATTCGGGTTCAAAAATAACTACCCATATAGAGATTTAGATTTTAAAATCTGTAAATATACATATGTATATATATATGGAGAAAATTTTAAGAGATTCTTTAGATAGTAGGTTCGTATTTTTTTAAAACTATTGCAGCATAGTAATTTATTAAATATATTAATCAAATATTAATCAATATCTACATAATATAAAAAATTGATTAGTTGATTTTATGAAGAAATATAAAATGATTTATAACCAAATTTGGAGGTTGCTTAAAGCTGTGTGCAGTCATATATTTTTGATTTTTTATCTTTTTTTAGTTAAAGTTAGGGTAAGGGTTGGTATAGAGTTAAGGTGAAAATAGATTTTATAGTAAAATTGCCTTTCTGATATTTTTTATTAATGCTCCAAGGTAGGTTTAGATACTCGTTTCTTGTATTTATGATATTTTTTACTTTTTTTCTTTGTTGGGCTGATCTGTATTGATTAAAACAAACAATTTTATTGGCTCTATATCATGTGACCGCACATGGCTTTAAGTGACCCCCAAATTTGAAAATTGCAGGCAAATTTACCTGCAAAACTATTTAAAAAATGATTAATTAGTGATTCATCAGTCACCTGGTGCATGATCATAGTATAATATGATACAAATCACTATATAAATCATATATATACTGAATGTGGTATTCACCCAAGGAAACTTTTTTTTCATACTAAGTTAATCACTCTTGTGTATTAAGTAAAACTTGTAGAGCTCATCAAAGTGCATCTTATAGTAGTAAGATTATCAAAAACAGTCTAGTATATTGTCAAGATATTGCTAAAAAACTATTGGCCAACTATGTAAAATTCTATGTAAACAAACTATTGTTTATATAAAAATTTTACATAGTTAGCCAATTGTTTTTTAGTAATATCTTGACAACTACTAGACCATTTTTAATAATTTTACTACTATTAGATATGTCTTGACGTGCTCTACAAGTTTTACTTAATACACAAGAACAATTAACTTAGTACAAAAAAAGTTTTCTTTGGATAAACACCATATTCAAAGTATATATGATTTATATAGTGATCTGTGTCATGTTACACTATGATCATGCACCAGGTAACTGGCGAATCACCAATTAATAATAAATAAAAATATTAATTATAATCAATTTAGTTTAATAGGCAAATCATGAGTCACCTAAACAAATATTTTTTTTATATATAAATTTTACTATAAGCCTAAATATGCAGCATTTCTATCTAAAATCTTTTTATTAAGTAAATTACTCTTAGGCTTGTAACAAAATTTGTAAAGCTCATTAAGATATACCTAATAGTAGCAAGAACATTAAAATTGGCCTGGTGGTTCTTGAGAAATCTTTAAAAAACTTCTTTTTTACATATAAAATTTTTTTAAAAAAAATCAATTTTTTTTAAAGAAA